GGCGGCGGACGCGGCCGAGCCTCGGGGGCCAGGCCCCATGTCCCGTCGATGGGGGTTACCAAAACATTTGTTTCTCTTTACAAGGGAACATCAATATTAATAAACGCTGGGCCCCCGCCGCGCGTTTCCTGCGTTTCCCCGACAGAAACCCTCTTCAGGGCGCCCTCTGCGTTGCTCCCGACCTCAGGACCCGCAGCTCAGCCGGGCTCCCTTCGCGCCTGGTTCGTGCATATTTCAGAGCCGCCTCCCGAGGGCCCAATCGATCCCTGGGGTGCTTACAGCTTCGGTGACCCGCCGGGGAAATCGCTACTGACGGCTGCGCCGCAGGAAGACGCAAGTGGGCCTGGTACCTGAGGGCACGGTGTTCCGGTCGCAGACCGCGTCCTTGAGCAGCTTGTCTCGGATTTCCCAGCTGAACATGCCCGGGTTCTCTCTTTTGTACTCCTCGATTTTCTTCTCCACGTCGGGCGTTGTCACCTGCTTTAAGAGAACAGGCAGGCAGGTGTTGGTACCCAGTCCTCTGGGCCAGCGAGCCAAGCAGGATGCTTCTTCCTGCACCCCCTGGGAAGGGCCCCCTTGTGAGCAGAGGGACCCCGACTCTCAAGGCAGTTTAGGTTAAGGTAGGACCAGGCAGAAAGTCATCCTTCCCCATCCTACCCCGAAGCAATCTGAGGACCCTCCACCACCCCGGATAAACAAGGACAATCAGGATAAATGGGAAAGAGGGGTGCAGCTTCCGATCCCTGGAAATACGGAAAGGCAATTCCTTACACCAAATCAACACGAAAACGAAACTAAAAAAAGAAATGCTTGAGAGAGAAGCGGAAACACCAAGTGAGCGCTGCAACGTCTGCCTGGCCAGAGGAGCACCAACTTCGGCTAAAGGGAAAAGGAAAATGAACCGCTAAAGGCGAGCATCTAGGTTTTGAAAATTTAGTTGAGTGGATAACACTTAGGCATCATTTGAGAAACTGGCTCTTAGTTTTTTTCCAATTAAAAGAGTTTCCAGAGATTCTTAGAGAGGTTGCAAAGGGCACTGAGGAGGGAGAGGGAGAGGAGGGTCTTCGGAAGTCTTAAGTTTACCAGAACGCTCCTGTTGATTCTGCCCCGTGGCAACTAGAAAATTATACCGCGCTTTCCCCACATCCAGAAGAGAAGGCAGACCCGAGAAGGTGTAACCCCCTCCCACTCGGCCCTCCCAGTGGGACTCTCTTTCCTTTTTTTAAAGGGAACCAAAATGATTTGAGGATAGCACCAAACGGCTTTTTAAAACGCCAAGTCACGAGAGCTCATGACAAAGAAAACAAATCACTCAGCTTTTGACCCCTTGAGGACAATTTGGACTGGACGAGACTGGGGCCTGGAGCTGGGAGAGCGACCATGGAAAGAGCCGAAGTGGCCCCTTCGATTAGCTTCGGAAACGGCAGTGCCGCGGGTGGGAGCTGGGGAGATACCAGGAGAACCCAGCAACAAGTGGACACACAGTTCGGTGCCTGCCTATCAAAATAATGTGCTGAGGAATTACAGGACTCAGCATATTTTTTAAAATGCTGTATTTTCTTTACAAACGGGCTGGATGGAGTTTTCCCTTAGTGTTTATCAAGGAATCTCGGCTTAGGCAGCAACCAAGTCCCCCCACACTCACCACACACGCGCGCACCCCTACACACACGCACGCCCCTCCCCAGGCTTGAAAAATAACTCCTAGGAAAGCCCCAGATGGCCGCCCTTGCCCCCAGCCTGCCCCTCCATCGCCGAGACCGCGGGCGCAGAGGCCTCCAGGGCCGGCGCGTGCTCACCTTGGGCTTGCTGCCGCCAATAGCGCCGGGACGGATGGAGCCCGTCTCCTGGTACCTGCACAGGATCTTGGAGACGCAGCCGTGGGACACGCGCAGCTGGCGGGAGATGACGCAGGGCCGGATGCCGTGGTGGGCCATCTCCACGATCTTGTGGCGGATGTGGTTGGGCAGCGGCCGGCCGTTGATAAACACGCCGCCGAGCTGGTTGACCCGGCCCTGGCCGAGGGGGGTGGACACTGGGGGCAGAAGGTGAAAAGAGACGCAAAGGGAAAGTCATTTCAGGGGACTTGGGAGCGGCAGCTGGAAAGAGGAGCCCAGGAACTTCCCGCTCCTTTGGCCAACCCGAAGGTTACAGGCTCAGCCATAAAACCGCTCACCTCCAGCTCCCAGCCCCAGCCCCTTTTTCAATCACATTTGTTCAAAGTATTAAGGAGTTCAGGGCCAGGCGCTGCTGTGTGAAAGGTACAACCAGGGCCAAATAACTTGTCCCCGGGAAGCTGTTTTCTCTTTCTGTCCAGGTAAGGCGGCAACTCTGGGGAACGGGGTGACCCTGTGGCTGGCACAAAGTGGGTGTTGCTCAAGAAACAGCCTCCTGGCAGACAGAAGTTCACCCAGGCTCGGGCCTGCTTGGACTCCGCTCACACCAAACCCTGTCCAACTGGGCTGCTCCCTTCCCGAGGGACTTGGAGGAGCTGACAGCCTTTGGGACTTCCAGCTCAGAGTGCAGCAGCCAAGGATCAAAGAGGGTCCCAGAAGGAGGCCGCAGGTGGCAGCCTGCGTCACCTGTTACACCTCCGGGCAGGGAGACGACCAGATCTGTTCCCTGGCCCCCTGGCCTGGAGTCATGCTCTGGGTATTACATTCTACTCTGGACCCAGGGTGGAAGGCAGGAGCCACCCGACCTGCATCTCCAACTGTCAGAAGGGCTTGGACTTGCAAAACTTCCCTGGTCCTGGGAATGCCAGAACCTTCAAGCTGACCTTCAGGCAGTTTCCCAAACGGGTTACGGAAACTTTCAGATGCCGCTAAAGAAAAACGAGACTCTAAATAATTAATACCAACAATCCCAAGCACGGTGTCTGTCGCAGGGCCTCGCCACCACAACTTTGCACCGCCAAGAAAATTCTTCCCGAACTTAACAAGGGCTTAGCAAGTATGGGCAAAGCCGGGGCAATTTGGAGACGCCTTTGGGTGGGCAAAATGCGGAGAAGTTGCTTCCTGTTGCTCAGAAGTCGGCTCATCCCCTCCCCACCGTGGATTTTCCAAAACAACAGGCAACGTGGACGCGCTGGGAGCAGGCCCGACCGCCAAGCTGCGAAAGGGCTTTCGGAGAGAGCCACGCTCCACTTGCAGAGAGAAAATCGGGTGCAGATCTCGCCCCAACACTTCCCTCCCGGGGTCGGGGTGCTCAGGGAATGGGGTCCCTGGGCGCGCTAGGGGAGCCTGAGGAGACCCCGGGTAGCGTGGAGCAGCCCGGGCCCAGCCCGGGCTCGGGCGCCGCTGAGGCCCTCGCTTACCTTCCAGCGGGAACCCGCTGCGCGGGTAGTTCTGCCCCGGGCCCGGCCGCATCATCCTGGGCACAGCTCCGGCCAGCGTGGTCATCCTGGGGGCAGCTTCGCGTGGAAATTATATCCAGGTGAAGGCGAGATAAAAGGCGAGCGCGGCGCTGGCGACCCTCGGGAGCTCCCCGGAGCGTGGAGAGCCCCTCCCCAAAGAGGCCGGAGAGAGAGGGAGGGCCGTGGGGAGGGGGGCCGCTCGCGCCTAGTCCTGGGAGAGGCTCGAGGTGGAATGGAACCGGGCTGGGGAGCCCTGAGCCCGGGATCTCGAGCCCCGGGCGGAAAAGTTTGGTGGGAGTCTGGGCGACTGGCCCCGCGGCCGGGGGCGCAGGGGAGGGGGCTCCGAGCGCCGCGGAGAGCCAGGGACGGGGGTGGGCCGGGAGCGCGGCCGGCTGGAGTCTCCCGCTGTCGTGACACCGAGTGCGGGGCTCTGGGCTCTCAAGCATTTATTAGTTCTTTCACCCAAAGCTTGGTCAGGAGCCCTGAGCTGCGATTGGCCGACGGGGAGACCGTCCCGGGTGGCGGAGACACGCGCTGATTGGGCGACAGCGGCAACTTTCTCTTCCCATCCCCGGAGGTGCCGAGGCCTCCGCCTGGCCCGGAGGGACCCGCGCTGCGCCCCTTCCCTGGGAGACCCGTGGAAACTGCGAGAGACAGCCCGAGGGAGATGACAGCTGCTGAGAGTAGGGAGGGGCCCCTGTCTCTGTCTCTGTCTGTCACTCCATGTGTGTCTCTCCTTGGCTCTCTATTTCTCTGTCTCTTTGTCTCTCTGTATCTCTGCGTGCCTTTCTCTGTCTCTATTTCTCTCTGGGTGTCTATGTTTTTCTACTTGTGGCTC